ATACATGGTTGTGCTCAACTCAGCAAGTAGGCATTTGACACCCAGATTACAAAACAACTTTAAAGATAGTCTGCTCTGACCTAGAAATTCCAGTAAATATTCTAGTCTTCACGAGAATTCTGAAATTTGTTCCCTGTTTCACTCAAGTAAGCTGTACTTTTAAAGAACAGCCTAGGGTTAGGCTAGTTGTGGCAGACACACAGTTCCCCTCTTTGTTGGGTCTCTGACACAGCCCTCATGATCCCTTAGAAATCCACATTTTAGGTCTATAAATATGCAGGTTTTCTCAGTATGACAGAGGACATTTTCACATATTTTAAAAGAAAGTAGGGGCACCTGGGTGGCTCACTCGGTTGGGTGTCCAACTTCGGCTCAGGTCATGATCTTGCCGTTTGTGAGTTTGAGCCCCGCATCGAGCTCTGTGCTGGCAGCTCGGAGCCTGGAGCCTGCTTTGGATTCTTTGTCTCCCCTTCTCTGTGCCCCTCCCATGCTCGAGCTCTGTGTCTGTCTCTCAATAATGAATAAACATACATACATACATACATACATACATACATACATAGAAAGAAAGAAAGAAAGAAAGAAAGAAAGAAAGAAAGAAAGAAAGAAAGAAAGAAAGAAACTTTGTGGGGGTGCCTGGCTGGCTCAGCCAGTAAAGAATGTGACTTTTGATCTTGGGGTTGTGAGTTCAAGCCCCATGCTGGGCACAGAACTTACTTTAAAAAAAAAAGAAAAAGAAAAAGAAAATTTGGGGATACTGCATTTTTCAAGGCTGTTATCTGGGTTGAATACTAACTATTACTTCCTTCATTCTCTAATTTCTCACCTCTCAGACCTACAGACAATCCATTGATTGATGATAGAAGCTGATGATTTCCACACATGATTTTTGCAAACCTTCCTGATGATCTGTATTGCTTGGATACCCTTATAGGAGAAGGACAAAATAATACTCTCTACCCCAATGAAGACTTCAATTCTATTGCTAATGTCAGTTATATAGGCACCCAGCAGAACTGCTTCAGCATAACTCTTTAAAGATAGGGTCTTGGCTATTATAAAAGCCATAAGATCAAACAGACTGAAGGGTCAGTAAACTGGCAGGAGAGGAATGGATTTAGTCAGAAGAAATGGAATAATCAATGACCTTGGAGATTTCAGACAAATCAGATTTTCTATTGAAGGCAGAGATATAAATAGCCCAAACACAACATAGACAAGTAGAAACAAAAGCCACCAACTCAACTTTCTGTTTGAAAACTTGTTAGGTCTAGAGAACTGTTCAAACCACAGCTGCTAATGGTTATGGATTTGGCAATCAAAATGTCTTTGTTAAAAAAAAAAAAAAGTTTTAACTGCCTTACTATTGAGGTTACAAACCACAGCCTTGATGCATTGTTGCAGTCAACATCCTCCCTGCTGTTTTTGAGAGCTTACATCTGCTGCTGGCAGATAAAGTGCTGGCAAACTGCATGGGCTCCTTCCAGGGGAATACAGGAGAAGCTGTAACTAGATGGCTCTCATCTACCTTTCTCTCCTGAGTTGAGCCCACAGCCTTTGCTGCATCATTCTTGTCTTGTCTAGGTTGATTCCCTGCCATTACTCAGAGAGCTGAGGGTCTAGTGGGATTTTCTTCTGGCACAAATTGGCCATGCCAGCCATACTACTCTTAGAAGATAAAAGGAAGATGAGTTCTTAGCTTAGGGCAAAGCATTTTAAGCACATATTTTAAAAAATCACTTAGAGTATAGTGTACCTGATTTTAAACAACCTCTAATAAAACTTTTTTAAAGAGACTAAATGATCACATTATGCCAAAAATAGTGAGGGCTTAGTATATTTTAACTTATCAAAGAAAGGCCAAGAATGTGAGGTCAGGAAGTAAGTTACTGAGTTTCTTTGGGGAAGGAAAAAGGAACAAGATGGAGAAGTAAAATGTGGTCCAAGTCACACATGAGATTAGTTTCAGTTGAAATAAAAACTACTAGATCTACATTGGTTTTCAAAGAAAATGTCATTCAGCTGGGTAATGAAAAATGAGTGTAAAGGTGCAGAAAGAAGACATAGGTCAAGAAATTGTTTCCTGTATGATTCTCCCTCAGTGAGATGACCTATGACAATAAAAGAAAACCAAACATACTTAGGCTAGCACTTTCTTAGCTGTATATACAAGATACCAGTTCTGCAGTATGAAAGTAGGTAGTGTGTATGAGGTAGGGGGAGGGGATTTATGGTCGAAAAGTTTAACACTGTATGTTGTATCCATTAGACGTAACAGACAGTTGTATCAGAGAGTCATAATGCACACTAGCGTATTAAGGTCTCTGAGAAGGTCTACAGTAAACAAACACATTTGTCTGATACAAATACATTTTCCAAATGTATGTGTCCATTCAGAACTACCTCCCCCTGTTTTTATTTCCCCAGAGAACACCTATACATGGAAGAGTTTGGGAAATGCTAGTCTAGGGCTATTATTCCTAAACTTTCAACTCATTCTTACAGTAATGAGAGTAAGGTTTGTAAAACAGACTAGGCAATCACATTACTAACATCACAGAACCACAGCTCAAACAAAGACAGGTAGATTACCAAAGACGCTTGAGACATTTTCCGAAAGGCAGCCAAATACCAAAGCTACAACTTTTAAAAGATCTTTATCTAATAAATAATCCCCAAATAAGACTAATATCAATTCTGCATACATTCATGAGCTACCCCCAAAGAAAAGAAACAGTGGGGAAAAGCCCCAAAAAAGCTGACCATAGGGAAAATGAGTAAGGGATTCCTATTTGATGAAGCCTACTGGCTTCTGGCATTTGGAGATATTCTAATGACATATACCAGAGAAATTCATAAGGAGAGTTGCCAGGACCTCCAGCTGGGAACATATGGAAGGATTCCTACATTTCTATGTGCTGCCCTCAGCATCCTCAGGATAAAAGACAGAATCTAAGCTCAAGGAGGAGTATCATGCTGACCTGAAAGAGAAGTATCCATGAGAAACCAAAAAAGATTTCTAACTCCCATAAGCTTGCTGTACTCCTAGGATTACTGTTTCCTACCCTTCTCTACACATTTTGTGGAAGGAAGAAGACTGGCTGTCTAGTGATTGAAATCATTTGACCTTGTATCAGATGGTGGTTTGCTTGATGGACAAATAAAAAAATAAAGGAAGGCCCTTTGCCAAACCCCACCACCCACATACCAGATGCTCCAGATTCCCCTTTTTAAATTTTTTTTAACTTTTAAAAATAGGTTTATTTATTTTAAGAGAAAGAGAGAGAGAGCAAGCATGTGTGCACACGTGCAAGCAAGGGAGCAGCAGAGAGAGAATCCCAACGTGGGGCCTGAACCCATGAACCAGGAAATCATGACCTGAGCTCAAACCAAGAAGAGCTGGACGCTCAACCAACTGAGCCACCAGGTAGCCTGATTTCCCTTTAAGAATGCAGATATCCTATGAAGAAAATATACTGATAATATATTAATTCATCCTAAGCTATTAATGCCTGTGACAGTCTTTAAAACTATAAGGCCTACACCAATGTAAGCAATTTTTATAACTGTTACTTCTAGACTGAAAAAAAAAGGGGAGAGAAAGAGAGGAAAGAAGATACTGGGGAAATGGGCAAAAGGCCCATGGAAGCACAGGTACAACGGTGTGGAAAAAAGGGTCTCCACATGTCCATGGTTTTGCCTAGGTCTGAATTAGGTAGTAAGGTTCAGAACAAAAGGCTAGGGGTCAAATCCATGCCAAAATGCATGCATTGTACTCCTATACATAAAGTAATCAGAGAAGAGCTAAGGAGGCAATCCACAAGAAAATGAAAGAAAACTAGAGGGATAATTACTGGCTAAAATCTGTGAGGAAAGGGTAGAGAGGGTAAGATAGATAGGATCAGGTTGGTTTTTTAAGTTATTTATTTATTTACTTATTTAGAAAGAGAGAGAGAGAGAGAGAGCGTGTGCGCTTGCATGAGCTCACAAGCAGGAGAGGGGCAGAGACAGGAAAGAAATCCCAAGCAGGATCCACACTGCCAGCGCAGAACCCTGTCAGAGCAGAGCCTGATGCGGGGCTCAAGCCCACAAACTGCGAGATCATGACCTAAGCCAAAATCAAGAGTCAGACGCTCAACTGAGTGAACCACCCAGGCTCCCTAATAGGAGTTTTTACAACAGTAATAATGTTATCAAAAGGCAAATAGATCTGGAAAAGAGTTTACTGAGAAAAATTAAGCTGAAAAACATTTTCCTAAGTACAGTGGTTGCCTAAGGCAATTGTTGAAAGTACAGGAAAACCATACTGTTAGGTAAGACTCTACAGGCTTCAAGGATAGACTTTGTCATTTTGGATTCTGCTAGTCTGAGTCTAAACATACAGCTCTAAAATTTCAGGCATTCTCCAATGAAGCTAAAGTCTTTAGGCTCCCTCTGCTGTTCAAAAATGAAATCTAGTTATGTCAGTCCAACCTTCAATGATCAAAAGAAATAAAAATACATACCTACACATGTGTGCACATACTCCCTCACATATACACTCCCCAAATATGGCACAGTCCAGGCAATCAGAAATCAGAATTCAAACTTACTTGCCTATCATGAATTCTCTGGCTTGAACCAAATCTTCCACAATAGTAACAAATCCTATCATCCTCACCACCTAATTGAAATAATTCAAAGGATAATGGAGGGTATCTTTACCAAAAGCAGCAAAGTTTTATGAAAGGTGAGGACCCTTTATTTGTTAGCTTGACTGGGGAAATAGCTTTTTATGCAGAAATGTACATGTATTAGAAACCAGAACAATCACTAGTTTTTCTGTTTCTGCACTGGTCTTGTATCTGTCCAGTATTTCCCTATGAAAAGATTATCCTCACATGTCTAAATTCAGTTGCTATCACCTTACTATGATAGCATGATATTCTGTATTGAAGGATTTACAAGTCAACTATGGTGGCAAACTAAGCATGTGTCCAAGAGAAGTATACTTTACCCACCTGTTCCTTAAACTGCTTCTGGGACAAGCAGTCAATGAGGTCCACACAGCCCAGAAGACAACCTGATGGATAGTCGTTGGGAAATTCCACATCTGAATCAAGAATAAGAGAAGCATCAGCTATATCTCCTTTTTGTTCCCCTGAAACTCACAAATCTGTTTCCAATTCTGAACAAATCACTATCTCTATTACCTACTGTAGACACAGAAAAACAATGAGGTTTTTATTTAGCACAAGTGTTTGCATTTTAGCAACAAATTTAGTGAGTGTCTGGCATAGTCTACTATCTACATTCTAAGCTATAAAAAAAATTACCCTTACACCATCAAAGTTCAAGGACCCTACAACTTCACTCCAAAAAAAGTTCAAGGACCCTACAACTTCACTCCAAAAAAATCATTCCACCTATACTCAATTGGATTAACCTGGAGTTTGGTGGCGATGGGTTTTGGAAACAAGCTATAGCTGTGAAGAGAAAAACCAAAAAGTGTAGTAAAACATTTAAGAATGACAGAACACAGGGGGAGAGAGAGAGAGAGGAAAAAAAAAAAAAGAACATAGTGAACATAAAACAAGAATATATCAGCTCAAAACATTGTGTTTGGCGCCTGGGCTTTTAGGCTTGGGTTAAGACATCCGACTTCAGCTGTTTTCCACGATTCATCTGTCCTGTGGAGTTCGAGTTCTGCTGGCCAGGCTCTGGGCATGGCTCAGAGCCTGAGCCTGTTTCAGATCTACTTCCTCTGCCCCTCCCCCATTCATGCTCTGTCTCTCTCTGTCCCCAAAAATAAATAAAATAAAAGTTGAAAAAAAAAATTAAAAAAAAAAAACATTGTGCTTTTAAGGAAACAAGCACCTTTGATTCCTCAAGTTTTGGTTTCCTTAAAACTTTTAAAGGTAGTTCTATAATCATCCTCTCATCCTACCTTCAAAACAAGTGTATGAGTTATAGAAGGAAATCAAGGGCGCCTGGTGGTGCATAGTCGGTTAAGCGTCGGACTTCAGCCAGGTCACGATCTCGTGGTCCGTGAGTTCGAGCCCCCGCTGCTGGCCAGGCTCAAGGCCAGGCTCTGGCCGACGGCTCAGGAGCCTGAGCCTGCTCTCTGATTCTGTGTCTCTCTCTCTCTCTGCCCTCCCCCCGTTCATGCTCTGTCTCTCTCTGTCCCAAAAAATAACAGCTGAAAAAAAAAATTAAAAAAAAAAAAAAAAGAGGAAGGAAAAACAAGACCTCTAAGAGTCAGAAACAGTTTTTTTGGATCCAAATATGATGTGCTTGGGGGTAATTCCCAAAATATAATGGTTAAGTCAACCAACTCTGACCTGTCCAACCCATAAGTAGTGATATTTGGCCAGTCCCCTCAAAATTTTTTTATTGTGAGCTATTTTGTTCTTCCCAATTCAGATTCAGAGTTTATAAAAGTCATTATACTCTCACAGTTAAAATTTTTTTAAAAAAGAAAATTTTCTTATATTAAGTTAAAACAGGTTGGTTGATTTCTGGTCTTGGGAACTGATAAGCATATTTTTTAATGTTTATTTATTTATTTTGAAAGAGAGGAGACAGCAGGTGTGAGCAAGGGAGGGCAGAGAGAAAGGGAGAGACAGAAAGAATGCCAAGCAGGCTAGTCGCTGCCAGAGCAGAGCCCGACGTGGGGGCTGAACCCACGAACGGTGAGATCATGACCTGAGCTGAAATCAAGAGTCAGATGCTTAACTGACTGAGCCAGTCATACGCCCTGGGAACTGATATTTTTATTTGCACTGTTTGATGAATGAATGCTTTGAACATCTGCCCAGGTTTGCCACTAAACAAACAAACGTACACAAAGATTAAAGTCCCTCTCATCTACTTCCCTCTCCCCCACCACCAAAAAAAAAAAAAAGTCAGAGGAGGCAGGGGGTGAAAGAAGATGAACTTCTTTCCTTTCCATCAAGTAATACTGAATGGAGAATATATATGTCTGTCACCTTTCCCACGAAGAAGACGATATGTAGTCTGGAGTTCTGAGACTTCTTGAGGGGAGGGTCTTTTGGCTGTGGCTGCTATCCAAAGACGTCCTCTGTGAGGAGTGTACCAACTTCTGCCCTCCACCCTTAAAAAAATTACAAATTTAGTAGAAAGGATCTAAATTCTAGTGTCCCACAGGATCTCATCTAATATAGCAAATCACCCAGCTAAACCAAGAGATCTATAGAAGATATCTCACAAAGAGGGGTATTTTGTGTGAAAAACATAATTATAACACAATACCCTTAAATGGAGTATGAACCCTGTTCTCTAGCTTTTCCTATCATCAGAATAAAGACAATGATCTCTTTCAGGTCCTATTTTTAACTCCTTCTCTGTAAGTCAGACTTGTATCTTTCACTAGCCTTGCGACTTCCACCATTTAAATCTTACACTTTTAAGGCATCCAAACTGTTCCACACAAAGGAAATCCTTGATGTTCTTTGAGTCACGGGCTAACTTTTTCTTGGAAGATTTGTTAATCGTTTTCTAACCTAACAGGAAAATCTTCACCAACACACAAATCTCTAAGAATAGTACTTTTATAGTTGTCACTTTATAGAATTTAAATAAATAAAAATGTTTATCATCTTCACTCTTTAAATTGCAACCATATTCATTTATATTTTCTAAGTATTTTATAAAGGATTATGTTCTTTGTAAATAATTAAACAACTTGACTAGTTTGAAAGAATCTTTAGGTGGAATAACAATGCATCCAAGAGAACTTAATTACTCTCCAAGGATTACAAAAAGATATTCCTGGGGGATGGGAGGTTGGGCAAAATGAGTGAAGGAGAAAGGGAGATACAGGACTCCAGTTATAGAATGAGTTAAGTCACGGTAATAAAAAGCACAGCATAACGAATAAAATGATATTATAATAGCAATGTAATGGGACAGATGGTAGCTATACTTATGGTGAACACAGCATAATGTATATAAACTTGTCAAATCACTAAGCTGTCTACCTGCAACTAATGTAACATTGTGTGTCCACTATACTCAAAAAATAAATAAGTGAAAAGAAGAAAAAAAAGGATGTTTCTCTTTTAGTTCCAATCAAATAAAATACCTTGATAATATACTCCTATTACACTATTCTTACAATGGGAAGTAGGGAATTTCTCATATCCTTCATTTTCCAATATAGATGAACTGAAATAGTGCCAGGCACATACATAGCAGGTGATCAAAAAATGAAGAACTAATCAGTATCGTTCTTCCCTCCACACCAAATAATCTGAAGGGTTATTGGGAAAATGGTCTCACAAATGTGGCAGAATCATTCATTTTATTTGTGGGATTAGTGATTGTGAGCTGGATGTTTCTCATCTGTTCTTTTCAGTAACAAAATCTGAAGAATATAGATCCAAAATAGGAGAGAAATGTAAACATTCTGATTCTCTCAGCAGAAAGCGAGCTGTTTAGTTTTCTGCTTTGGAAGAGGGAAAAGACACCCAAATTGTAGAAAACTGAGTAAGAACAGATACCTGAAGGTCTAGTTGCCCTGGAGCAGAAGCAGATTCACATGCATTTGTTCTAATGGCATTACACACATGAACTAAAAAGCAATTACAAACCAAAGCAAGAAGACCTAACCTTCAAGAAGGGAGAAAAATGACAATGCACCGTGATGAAAGAAGGAAATCACAGCTAATAATGAATACACCAAAGTAGAAATGATTGATACTAAATGCCAATAAAAAATTTTCTTTCAGAAGACAAATGACTGAAACTTACACAGTAAGACTGGAAAAAACCACTAAAAACTTGAACTCAAGTTCCATCTCTGCCACTAACTAGCTTTTAATTCAGAGAAAGCTACTTTATCTATAAAGTGTCCTTACGTAAGTGTCCTCATTTGTGCAAGACTGTAATAATACTGGCCTTATCTATTTTATAGAGCTACTGCTGCTTTTAGAACTGTAAAAATTTATTTAAGTATATTACTACTGTTATGAGTTAGGACACTGTCAGGCATAGTAAATTCTAATAGATAAAATAAAAAGGAACAAAAAGATATCTGCACCCTCAAATTCACTGCAATATTATTCATAATAGCCAAGATATGGAAACAACCAAATGCCCACTGATGGATGAATGGATCAAGAAAATGTGGTATATATACATAATGGAATATTATTCAGCCATAAAAATAAAGGAAATCCTGCCATTGTATTTACAACAGACCTTGATGGCATTGTGCCAAATCAGACAAAAAAGACAAATACTGTATGATCTCACTTATATGCAGAATCTGAAAAAAAACAAACTCATAGATAGAGAGAAAAAAGTGGTGGTTGCCAGAGGTAAATGGGTAAAAATACTCAAAACTTTGAGGTATTAGATAAGTCCTGGGGAAGTAATGTACAGCATGGTGACTATAGTTAACAATACTGTGCTGTATATTTAAAAGCTGCTAAGAGAATAGATCTTAAAAGTTCTCACAACAAGAAACAAAAAATTTGTGACTATGTGAGGTGAAGGATATTAACTAAACTTACTGAGGCAGCCATTTAAAAATATATACATATATCAAATCATTATGTTGTATAACTTAAACTAATACAATGTTATTTGTTAATTAAAGTGTAATAAAACTGGAAAAAAAGGGAGAAAGCGAGTATGTTGTAATGATAAGTGAAAGAAATAAAATACTAAATATATTTTATTACCTTACTATATAACAGCACAGGAAAATAAATATAAATAAGCCCTCTAAAATTCTAAAAGTAGGTGTTTCTAAGTGGTGGGATTATAGGCGATCTTTCTCTTTCTAGCTACTTCACCGTATTTTCCAATTTTCTATTTATATCTATAAAAGCAAACTATTTTTTTATTTTTTTTAAAGATTTTATTTTTAAGTAACTTTATACCCAACGTGGGGCTCTAACTTACAACCCCAAGATCAAGAGTCACATGCTCTACCAACTGAGCCAGCCAGATGCACTGAAAAAAATATTTTTTAAAATTGAATTGAGAAGCGGGGCACCTGGGTGGCTTAGTTGGTTGAACGTCCAACTTTAGCTCAGGTCATGATCTCATGGTTCCTGAGTTCAAGCCCCACATCCAGCTTGCTGTTGTCAGTGCGGAGCCTGCTTCAGATCCTCTGTCCTTCTCTCTGCCCCTCCCCCGCTTGAGCTCTCTCAAAAATAAATAAAAAACTTAAAATAAAATAGGGGCACCTGGGTGGCTCAGTCAGTTAAGTGTCTGACTTCAGCTCAGGTTATGATCTCACAGTTTGTGGGATAGGGTCTTACACTAAAGCTCAGAGGCTGGAGCCTGCTTCAGATTCTGTGTGTCCCTCTCTCTCTCTCTCTCTCTGTCCCTCCTTGGTTCACACTCTGTCTTTCTCAAAAATAAACAAACCTTAAAAAAAAATTTTAATAAAAAAATTAAAAAATAAAATAAAATTGAATTGAGAAGAAACATGAAACCATAGAACATTAAGTTCTAACCATCATGAATAGGTACAACCACTCAACCTTGTAATAAAGCAACTTAACTCTTAAATCCCCCATTTTTCTAGACAAGTAGTTTTTCATATGATTAGTCAGATTAGTACATAGATATATGAAAGAAAAAAACACAGTTGGGCTGTTGTCTTAAAAAAATTAATAAATAGCCATAAAAACTGCATTTCAAATAAGATCAAACCATTAATGTTGCTGAATACTATATTCCAAAGGCAAAGCCAAGAGAAGTTTTGTCAAGAGACTTCCTTCTGAAGATGGAAAAACTGGTATTTTATTCTTTTTTTAGACTAGGATCCTTAGCCTTTCTAACCTCAGGGTTTTTTTAAGCTATTCAGTAAAAACACTACTACCAAATCAGTAACATGAATATACTGCTTAAACTTCTATGTGCTGAAGAGTATTATAAATCATCACTATATTGGGGAAAATGAATTCTAATCCATAATTCTAAATCAAGTTTATGTCACTGTAAAATCTTCCACTGGCAAGATTCATTTCCGTCCTTACCTTTTGATCCCTCTGACAAGCAGAGAAGCCCAGGGCTGATGCATAGAGAGGCACCAGCCACCATCAAAGCCTTCCTGAAATTCTTGGTCCTGGATTCGCAACTGGTGCCGATAGGAGTTCAATTCTAGTTCCGATCCTCCTGAATGGAAAGCCTTCTTCTGTGAGGCTGCACCTGTCTGGTCTATCCACTACACAAAAAAGAAACCAAACATACAGTTCTGTCTGACAAGGGAAGAACCTGGGGTAGGTATACAAAATGAGATGACTGCTAACAATGAGGAAATCATACTGGGCACATTTTCTTAAAGTTTATCCCACCTTTGTTTGAAACAAGGACATAAAAGGTGTAGGTATAAATTCAGAAGGAGTTGTAGATATGATAACAAGGTCCTATCTTAAAAGATAATTAGAATGCTGAAATCTCCATATGTAGATTCCTAATTCCAGCAAAAATACAACAAGCAGACCAGGTATAAGGTCTGTAATTACTTCTACTGTAAACTTATTAATGATCCATAATCCATTCTGGACAATTTCCCAACATAATTGCATTAAATGAAGGTTCCAAATTTTGGTCCACACACCTTTCATGTGCTTAAAGGCAGAGTCACATGTTGGGACCGTGAAAAAGCCAATCAGATGCTATCAGGGGCAGTAGTTATGATTGCTGGATGCAAGATATACTCTCTTACCCTGAAAGGAACAACCTGTCTTTTACAGAAAGGATGGAGAATTACTGAAACAAGCCCCCCATTACATGAAAAGAAGAGAAAATTATAGGACAGTGGTAATATAGAAAACTGATGTGTCCTGGCAGTTCTGTCACAGAATGACAAAGATTCGTGTTTGTTCCAGAACAAGAAGACTGAAAGTCTTCAAAATTTAAAAAAAAAAAAAAAGGTCTTTATTAAGATGAAGTTTTTGGTTAGTTGTCTTAATTTTTTGACTTGTTTGATAATTTATAGGGGGAAAAACTAGAATGGTAGTTTAGAGACTCTAAGCAATCATTTAACCTCTAAAGGTTTCAGTTTTCTCAATTATAAAATGATGGGGTTGGACTAAATTGATCTTTAACAATCTTAATGTAATATAATTTTATGACTCTAATCAACTGCTTCGTATCTTAAAAAAACACATTTATTCAGTACTTGATCATGTGAAAAGCACATCAAGTATAAAAAGGGTACAGTTCTTTCTTTCAAGGCACTTATGATCCTAGTAGAAGAAAAACACATAAATAGCTAACCAAAATATAAAGCAGAATTAAGTAAATACTACCTGGGGATAGAAGCCCTTAACTGGGAATATAGAGGAAGGACTCATCCATTACAGGGGAAATAAGTGATTTCATAAACATGTTGGTACTTGAACAATTCTGAGGTCCACATTCACTGTTTTATCTCTACTACAGTTACAGTTTATATTACCTGTTTCTCTATTCCCACATCCACTTTCTCAAATTAACCTCTTATCTTTCACTAATATTATTACAGAGCCGGCTAACTGGTCTCATCTACATTTTTAGCCTTTAAGTAACTCTCTACTGTCCTACTAGTGTTACTACACTAACCTGGGCCCTCATCAGCTCCCCACTACACTACTGCAATAACCTTCTTAGCAAATTCCCTGCTTTAGTCTTACTCCTCCCTCGAATCTCTATACAGGCATGGAAGTCATGCCAATCTTCTACTAAAATTCTTTAAGGACTTCTCTTTGCCTACTTTGAAATAAAACCAAACTCCTTAGCATGAGACATAAGGCCTTTCATGGTAAGATGCTGCCTACTGTACTGGGTTGAGTAGTATCCCCCCCTAAAATTTACATCTACCCAGAACCCGTGAAAGTGACCTTATGTGGAAATAGTTTTGCAGATGTAATCAAATTAAGATTAGGTCATACTGGGTTAGGGTGGACCCCAAATCCAATGACTGCTGTCCTTATGAAAAAAAAAGAACACATAGACAAAAACAGGGAAGAAGACCATGTGAAGACAAAGGCAGACATTTCAATGAACCCGCTATAAACCAAGGGATGCCTGGGGCCAGGAGAAGCTCAAATAGGCAAGGAAGCATTCTCCTATAGAGCCTTTGCGGGGAATGTCTGGGCCTGCCAACGTCTTGATTTTGGTGTTAAGGAACTGTGAGAGAATAAATTCCTGTTGTCTTAAGCCAACTAGTTGTGAGACTTTGTTATGGTTGCCCTAGGAAACTAATACACCCACTAGTCCATCTCAACTTTTTTTTTCATCTTAGCTTCTAACAATACTTAATTACCTCTGGTTCTACCAAACCTACAATACTCCTAAACTGCTGAACCTTTGTACATGAATTTCCTGGAATTTCCTCCCTAGATTTGTCTCATTGGAAATTGTTATTCATCCTGTAAGTCTTCTCTCAAACACTATTTCTTTTGTGACTCCTAGAGTGTTTATGAACACTTTCCTAAAGTCCTACTCTATGCACAACATGTGTCTATCATTGCACTTTTTTTTTAATTGAAGTAGAATTAACATATAGTATTATATGAAACTATCTTAAGGAATTCAAATTATTTGTATTCAAACATGTTTCCCCACTAAGTCTTTAAGGATAGGAGCTGGGCCTTTACCTTTTAATTTTCTAGCACCTGGCAAAGAAGCTGGCATGTGTAAAGTGCTGAACAAGTACCTACAGTTAGGCTGTTTAAAGCACTGCTCTGACTGCATCTCTTTGCGAAAAGAACTTTCTATGGCACACATTTATATACAAAATAAAAATATGAAAAATTGCTAAACATTTAAACATTTTAGTGATTTGGTTCTACCTACCTAACCTTAGTCTGTTTCTCAGGATAATCCCTTTGATAACCACTATCTACGCAGCCTACATTCATTTTTCCATAAATATACAGGCCATGCTTTCATGTACCCATGCTTTATTCCTACAGTTCAGTCTGCTTGGAATGTTTTTTTCCCCACCATCCCCAAACACCCATTTTCTTGGATATTTCCTTTTAATGAATGTAGCTTCCCTATTAAAGCTTCTTTTATTCTCAACTGGAAGTGGTACTTCCCTTCTCTGGGTTTCCACCATACTTTATTTATATCTCTATTTATATTAGAACTGCTTATGTGATTTTTTTCTTCCTACTAGTCTATGAGTTCTTTGAGGATAGAAGCAACATACAGTTTGTCACTTACTATTATGAATGCACATAATAGATGCTCAATGATATGATGGAAAAATGAATGACAACAATGAACGTATTAATTTAAAACACCACTCTATGGGACTACCCATATTCTATAAAAGGTAGAGAAAACATCAACAAAAGAACCATGGGATTATTGTCTCAATCTCTTATTTAACAAAACCCTCTCTTGGGAAATACTCAGAAGATAATGCAGGCCAACTTGTAAGAAGTATTGCAAAATAATGGAAAAAACTGGGGACAGAAAATAAGGTCGGTGGGTGTGTGAAAGAGCACACTGATATCTAAAGCCTATGAAAGAGGCACACTTGAAAGGAGAAATATCGGGGCCCAAACTCCTCTCATTACCAGTTACAGCAAAGGTCCACTAACCTGGGGAGGGGACTGGTACAGGTTGGGATTCACCAGAACTCCCAAAGGCTCGTCAGAAGATCTATCCAATTTGGTGAGTGGTTGGTTCAAGGTTCCATTGGCAATTGCCTGTATTGTCTCATCTAGTCTGTGATGACAAACCAAAGGATGAAATAATTGGTAATGTTCTATGCTCAGAATATCCTTACTTACCACAACATAAAATCCTTCAACAATGAGAAAATCTGAAATTCAAAGAGGGGTCCATGGATGAACTTTCCTACTCCCCACCACCAACTTCCTTCTCTTCACTCCAAGAACCCTAAGGAATACGAATTAGTAAAAGTTCCAGAACACTAAGAAAATAGGTAGGGCACACTACAATCATTCATCTGTTTAACAGGATTACTAAAAATGCCAAGATTAGAACAGCTGCCTAGAAATAGTCTGACCTACAGCAGATTATTTATCCTATAGCAGCCTATTTACTCAACACATTCCATTACTCCTCTGCACACTCAGGAGGCCCTCTCCACTCCTCCAGGCTGACCTAGATTCTATCCTTGTTTCAAGGTCCAGAAGTTGTAGTAAGGTCCTCTACTGGCCCAGCACAAAAGTGCTTACTCCTTTCTCTGAAGTCCTATAGCACCTACTATTTAAATAGTCATCGGGGTGCCTGGGTGGCTCAGTCAGTTAAGGGTCCAACTTCAGGTTGAGATCAGGTCATGATCTCACAGTTTGTGGGTTTGATACCCACATTGGGCTCTGTGCTGACAGCTCAGAGCCTGGAGCCTGCTTTGGATTCTTTGTCTCCCTCTCTGTCCCTCCCCACTCATGCTCTGTCTCTCTCTCTCTCAAAGATGAATACATATTGAAAAATATTTTAAAAATCAAACAGCACATACATCCCATGTTATCCTGTGCCCATGGTTTGCTAATTATTTTGGCTCTAAATTTACAAAACAATGTGATGATTTCCATTTAAAGACTGTAGAACTAATCCTAGGGTAGTAGGAGATCACAGATCTTAGAGGAACTGTATCTTATTCTATCCAGTACCTCTACATTACCTACTGCTATACTCCATGTCCCTGCCAGATGCTTGACAAATGTTTGTGGATAATGATAATTCTGAGACACAACATAATGAAAGGATTTTACCAGTAGAAAAGACCAAAGATATTTGTTAGGAACCTTTTATACGCAAGGCGACTTAAATAAGGTATGGAAAACATGGTTCTTGCCTTCAAGAAGCTTTGAATCTAAATGGCAGGTTTAAGATAGCTATGAAGATGATGAACAAAACATGGAAGGATGTAGTGCTACTATGAGAGAGTTATTACAATGATTATTATTATAATCCCATGTGTTGTACCAAGTAGGTAGACATTTCAAAGGCAAAGATTGTGGGAGAGATTTCTAAACCAAGGAAAAAGCAGAAACACAACAGGCATAAAGCTAAAAAAGAAAAAGAGAGAGAAAGAAAGAAGAAAAAAACCAAAAATCTTGAGGGAAGAGGGGAGTCTAAATAAAATAGGGTGGGGACAGTGGGATCTGAAGAAGGAAATAATTTTGAAATATAATAAATGGTAAATGTACCTACAACTCTAGAACCTATACAAGAAGCAATACAAATAGCTAATCAGTACATTTTTAGAATGTTCAGACTTACCAGCATACAACCAAAACAAAGAAATATAAATAAAAATTTTCACAAAATAAATACAATTTTTTGTATGTGAGAAGAGCAAATGTTTTTTTTTAAATGTTGAGAAGGGGATGAAGAAACTAGTATCTTACTACCTGGTTATAGCTGGTAAGTCAAAAAGTATGCATAATTTAAGATACAATTTGAGATACTGTCCAATTTAACTTCTAAAGGGCTGTATGTACTTTTTATTGAACATAAAAATAACTTATTATAAAGGTAATTTATAACTGGAAAATACAAATTAATGGGAAAAAAAAGAAAAATTCCTAAACCCATCACCAAAAAATAATTTTACTTTTTTTCTTTATGTTTACATATCACATACGTAATAGGTAAGAACAAATAATTATTTTGAAGCTAGTGGTAGAATTTCTTTTATGGAGAGAACAACCTTTGTTTAGGAAAATTCTACAATGGATTTGGCAGATCCGAAAGAGAAGGCCAAAACTGAACCTTGTGGAAAGCATTACTATGTTTACCAATATCCAATTGTGGGGGGGGGAGGGGGGAGAGAAAGAGAGAGAAAGAGGGGTGGGGAGAGGATGAGAAGAGAAAGGAGGGATGGGGAGGGAGGGAGACAAAGAGGGAAGGAGGAAGAGAGAGGGAGAGAGAATGAGGGGAAGGGAGAGAATGAAAGAGAAGGGGAAGGGGATGGGGATGGAGGGGGAGACAGAGAGGGAGAGAGAGAGAGAAAGGGGGTGGAGAGGGAAAGGGAGAGAGGAAGAGAGAGAAAGAAATAGAAAGGGGGGTGGAGAGGGAGGGAGGAAGAGAGAGAGAAAGAGAGAGACAGACATACAGACAGACAGACACCATTTCCAAAACAAAAAACAGGAAAATCCTGTGCTTTCTTTTCAGTGCTATGCTGGAGCCAATACACATGTCTCTGAACTCTATGTTCAGTGACTTCATGTTGGTAACTTGAAATTGGCCATGATGGGAATTTTTCATGAGACTTTATTTCTTAGAGCAGTTTTAGGTTCACAGCAAAACTGAACAGAAGGTTCACACATTTCTCATATGCTCCCTGACTCCACACATCCATACCTTCCCATTATCAGCCATTCCTCACTTGAGTAGTACATTTGTTAAAATTAATCAACCTACACTGACACATTGTCACCCCAAATCCATAATTTACATTAGGATTTACTCTTGGCATTGAGGCTGTACCATTTTAATAGTCCCATCTACAGTAAGAGAGCATATTCATTTTCCTATACTCACAGACTATGCATGTAGTATTTTGTATATATGTACTTTTTATTTCAGCCAATTTAATGATACATTGTTTTAAAATCTCCATTTCTGGGGCGCCTGGGTGGCGCAGTCGGTTGGGCGTCCGACTTCAGCCAGGTCACGATCTCGCGGTCCGTGAGTTCGAGCCCCACGTCAGGCTCTGGGCTGATGGCTCGGAGCCTGGAGCCTGTTTCCGATTCTGTGTCTCCCTCTCTCTCTGCCCCTCCCCCGTTCATGCGCGCTCTCTCTCTGTCCCAAAAATAAATAAAAAAACGTTGAAAAAAATATTTAAAAAATAAATAAATAAATAAATAAAATCTCCATTTCCCTTATAACTAGTTGAACATTTTATTTATTTATTTATTGCTTAAAGTTTTATTTAAGTAATCTGTACACCCAAGATGGGACTTGAGCCCAGAACCCCAAGATCAAGAGTCACATGCTCTTCTGACTGAGCCAGCCATATGCCCCTAGTTGAACTTTTAAAAAAAATTTTTTTTTAATGTTTATTTATTTTTGAGAGAGAGACAGAATGCGAGTGGGGAGGGGCAGAGAGAGAGGGAGACACAGAATCCGAAGCAGGCTCCAGGCTCCGAGGTGTCAGCACAGAGCCTGACACATGGCTCGAACTCACAAGCTGTGAGATCGTGACCTGAGCTGAAGTCGGACACTCATCCGACTGAGCCACCCAGGCGCCCCAGTAGTTGAACATTTTTTTAAAAATTTCTATTGGCCGGGAGGCCTGGGTGGCTCAGTCGGTTAAGTGTCCGACTTCAGCTCAGGTCATGATCTCATGGTCTGTGAGCTCAAGCCCCGCATCAGGCTCTGGGCTGACAGCTTGGAGCCTCCTTTGGATTCTGTGTCTTCCTCTCTCTCTGTCCCTCCCCTGCTTATACTATGTCTCTCTCTCTCTCTCTCTCTCTCTCAAAAATAAAGAAACATTAAAAAAAAATTTTTTTTTTTAATTTCTATTGGTCATTTGTATTTCTTCACCTGTAAATGGTCCTTAGGCTTCGCTCGTCTTTCTACTGGATTGTTTGGTATGTTTCTTTTAATTTGCAGGTCTTTACATACTATAGATCTTCCTCTTTTGACTTAAAAATGTTTAAAATATTCTCTCAGCTTGGTAGCATTTTTTTACTTTATTTAAAATATCTCGTCTTAGGGGTACCTGGGTGGCTAAATTGGTTGAGCTTCCGACTTCAGGTTAGGTCATGATCTCACAGTTATGCAGTAGAGCCTCACATAGGGCTCTGTGGTGACAGTTTGGAGCCTGGAGCCTGCTTCGGATTCTGTGTCTCCCTCTCTCTCTGCCCCTCCCCCACGCACACTCTTTATCTCTCAAAAAAATAAGTAACATTAAAACATTTTTTTGACATCTCGTCTTTTTGTCTTCTGGGTTGTGTATTTTGCTTAGAAAGAGCTATGGGACGCCTGGGTGGCTCACACAGCTAAGTGTTGGACTCGATCTCAGGTCAGGTTATGGTCTCATGGTTCATGGGATGGAGCCCTGACTCCCTGAGTCAGGCTCTGTGCTGACAGCACAGGGCCTGCTTGGGACTCTCTGTCTCTCCCTTTCTTTGCCATTTCCCTGTGCCCACACACGCACGCATGCTCTCTCTAAAAATAAACAAACTTAAAAAAAAAAAAATACTTTATTACACCAAGACTGTATCTATATTCTCCTGCATTTCTTTATTTATTTCTGATCCTTTTACCTCTTTTACATTTAACCATTTAGCCAAACTTATTATCACAGTATGGTTTGAAATAGAGATTGAATATCAATTTTTCCCAAGCTGGTGGCCAATCATCCCAGCATGTATTTAACCCTTTCCTTATTATTTAGAAATGCTACCTGCTTTAATTACTAATTTACACATGTATACACACAAACACATACAATGCAGGTTTTGTTCTGGATTCCTTTACATTCCCATGCCCAAATGGCACCTCATTGTTTAAAAAGTTTTTTATCAAACTATAGTAATTATCTGGAAAAGTTACCCTCACTGTTCATTTTCAAAATTTTCTTAGCCACTCTTACATTTTTCTATTCCAAATGAATGTATTATTTTTAAAATCAACAAAAATAACAGATCCATGAGAGGGGGCAAATCCTTTTTAGACAAAATGCCCCCTCCCAGACCCTTTCTGGTGCTGCCCACTTACTTGCTGTGATACTCTGCTAGAGGATTTTCATCTTCCACGATCTTCCTGCCTGCAAAGTCAATGGTGATTTTCTTAGAGAGCCGAGACATATGTCGAAATTCTCTCAGCTCCTCCTCCCGTTTTTGCAGGGTCTCCCGCTCAATTTTAGACAACCACTGGTTAGAATCACTGGCAAAGTAATCTGACTCATCATCAATGACTTGCGTCCTTCGAATGCTAAGGAGATAAAGAGAACACATGTCAATTGGGTTACCTGTTGACAAAACAGGGACTTGATTACCAGAAAACTGTTTTAAGGCAGTTTACTCTTTGCTATCCTGAAAAGTATCTCAAACACAGATGCCCAAAAAAGTTCCATAATAAGGTCAAGCTCTGCTTGGTCCCCAGCTTCGGCATGTACCTTATCCCCACAGCAGGCCTAGCTCAGCTCATAAAACTAATCTCACCTTCAGGTAAAAAAAGACACAGCCTCACAATCCATTGTTCTTCTAACTCTTTCTCACTAGTCCAGCCATAACTGGGTTATCACCTGGTTTTGCTGCATCTGAGTTCATGTCTTGGCAGCTTACTCACTATCCTAGTCCCTCAACAAGTGGGGTCCAGTCGATTCCTGCTAGTCCCAACTGCTGCCTTTCCCTTAGAAACTTAAAGAGTTCTATTCTGGACAGTTTAAGGCCCATGGCTTACTCTTAGGACATCCTACTACCCTACTACTACTATATGTCAGTTTCTACCCCTTGCCCCCCCAATCTTATCACTTGTCCCTCACTAAAACCCTGGATCAAATTCTAAGATATGTCAATCAGACCTATTTCTAAGATCATATCAACAAAGAAACTGAGAACTAGAAGGAATTTTAATGACCCAATTCTCTCATTCTACAGATAATGAACTTGGGGTGGGGCTCACAGAAGTTAACTGACTACTCCAAATGCACAAATCCAGTCACAATTGACTCTGTGCCTAATTATTACAAATTAGTGATATACAAAGGCATAGGGAAATACTGAAATCAGATTCATATACTGATTTCAGTTTTTCAGGACATGGCTGGAATTATACAAGTTTTAAAGTAGACTGAGAGTGGGAAGTTTCAGAGAGCTCAGGAGAAACCTGCTCCTATATGTGAACCTAAATAATGAAACTAGTATCCTGGAACACACAAGAAAAGGAGCAATATCTGTGGAGAGAGACCCTTTTCTAGTTTCTATTTACCAAGAAATGTACTCCATTGCTAATTCTATTTCTAATGACAGTTTTATTGAGTAGGGCTAGAAGTGATACTTAAAAGATTAAGAGTAGGGGTGCTTGGGTGGCTCAGTCGATTAAGCATCCAACTTTGGCTCAGGTCATGATCTCAGTTTGTGAGTTCGAGCCCCACACTGGGCTCTCTGCTGTCAACATGGAGCCCATTTCAGGTCCTCTGGCTCCCCTTTCTGCTCCTCCTCAACTCACACACACGTGGTCTCTCTCTCTCAAAAATAAACATTAAAATAATAATAATAATAAATATTGAGTGAACAGGAGTTACAAACCTTGTGATGGGCTTACTTCAGAAATAGCTTTCATTAGTCAGAGAAAGACAAGTATCATATGACTTCATTCATATGAGGACTTTAAGAGACAAAACAGATGAACATAAGGGAAGGGAAACAAAAATAATATGACGAGAGAGGGGAACAAAACATAAGAGACTCTTGAACTATGGGAAAAACAGATACTGAGGCGGTTGTGGGGGGGGATGGGCATAATGTCCGGGTAAGTGGGCACTTAATGAATCTACTCCTGAAAAATACGTATATGGTCAATATATGGTAATAATTTGGGTGTAAATTAAAAAAAAAAAAAATTAAAAAGAAAAATAGCTTCTCAGCTAGCGGTGGCTCAGCTCGACATCAGTGTGACTGGATTTTGGCTCATGTCATGAGCTTCCACGGCAATGAGTTCGAGTCTAGTGTCACGCCTTCATGCTTGACAACACACGAGCCTTCTTGGGATTCTCTCCCTCCTTCTCTCTGCCCCTCCCCAGCTCTATCTCAAAAATAAATAAACTTAAAAAAAAAGCTTTTTATGGGCGTCTGGTGGTCTAGGTCGAGAGAACATCGTCTCGGTATTCAGGGTCAACATCTCACTGTTCAGTATCCTGAGCCTGCTGCTCGGGCTGCCGAAGTGCTGACTGCTCAGAGCCCGAGTGAATCAGATTCGTGTGTCTCCTTCTCTCTGACTCTGCCTCAGCATTGCTGCTCCCCAAAAAATAAACGTTTAAAAAAAAAAAAAAAAAGCTTTCAAAGTTGTATCTCAGATTTACAGCAAAGGGTTTGGAAGGAGGAAGTATGTCTAACCAAAAACTTATAATGCCAGAAATAGACTCCTAGGTCAGTTACAATACATAGGAGATTAAGGGTTCTCCAAGGACCCTCACAGATTCCCACATGGCCATTTGAGAAATGAATGTATAAGTCCTATTTAAACATTTTTTACCACTAACTGGCTTTCAATACATATTTTGTCTAAAAGCAGAAAAAGGTGAAAGAGAAAGAAAAAATGAACTAACAAATTGATAAAATTGTCTCCTACAGAGAAGTCAATGGGCTAAATGACAAAAGTGTAGGAGTGTAAAAGCCTATTTAGGAACTTTTTTTTTTTTTTTTTTAAGTAGGCTCCACGTCTGGCAGAGCCCAACACAGGGCTCGAACTCATGACCCTGAGATCAAGACCTGAGACGACATCAAGAGTTGGACACTCAACTGACTGAGCCACCTTATCTGCCCTAAATTTAGGGACATTTTAATACACTGATCATTAAATCAGAAAACAAATTTAGTGTTAACGGGAAGGGGAAGGGTAAACCAGGCCTTCCCAGGATATGCCACTACCTATGCTCTTTCAGAAGCAATTTCTTATAGATCCTCCAGAGCCCAGCACAGTCGTTTGCACATGGTAGGTACTCTAACATATGGTGACTGATGGAATGAATGGCTGCAAGGAAAACAACTGGGGAATTCTGTCAACCCAAATCAACTTTCTGGCGGTATACTAGTACTAGCATTTGGCAAAAATTTAATAATGTTGCAGGGTAAGATGCTCTTTATGGGAACCTATCTTACTCAAACATGAATTCAAAAACAAGATGTAGGCCTCCTATGTAGCAGAGCTCTTCTTTTGCTGTGAATCTTTCATACTTCACTGTAAAAAGGTATCAAGTTCCAGAATAATGTTTTAATGGCCAGGATATGTAGACCACTCTATTTCTTACCATTTGTTATTCTAACCACATACCTAGTTCTGTCAAATTCTAACAGTTTGTCCTTATGCTTAATAGCCTTCTCCAGACCAGACTTAATTCGCAATTCTTGATGAGGAAGAAGGTCCTTGGTAGAGATGTCCACCTTTCCAGAACTCTCCGTCCCTGAAATTCAATAAGGAAACCAAATGGTATCAGACTGTAATATAAATTAGTTGTATCACTGTGCAGCAAAGAACAAAATATCAGAAGATCTGGCTCTGTTTTAAATGGCTGACAGCCTTCATTTCAATGAAAAACAAATAACACGTGCTAGGCTTTACTTATTAAGCACCAAGCAGGGTTTCACACAAGATTGGTTTTCAGGAAACATTAGGATCCACTTCTTCCCATGTGGAAATTTGGATCACTAAGGGTACCAAACTGTTAAACAATATAAAAATGCCATGTAAAGGAAAAGATTTATTAAGTAGGGGTGACTACAACCTTTAAACATACTTTCATGGGTGCCTGGGCATCTCAGTCGGTTAACCATCTGACCCTCGATTTGGGCTCAAGTCATGATTTCATGGTTTATGAGTGTGAGACCCATGTGGGGATCTGTGCTGACAGTGCAGAGCCTGCTTGGGATTCTCTCTCTCCCTCTCTCTGCCTTTTCCCCATTCGCAATCTCTCTCAAAATAAATAAACTTAAAAAAAACAAACATACTTAGACATAGCAAAATTAAAAAAGACAATGGAAGAAAAAAAGAGTAGAAATTGCAGGAAAGGGACAGAAATGAATACTGAAGGGCGCCTGGGTGGCTCAGTCAGTTAAGCGTCCAACTTTGGCTCAGATCATGACCTCACATTTCGTGGGTTTGAGCCCTGCATTGGGCTCTGTGCTGACAGCTCAAAACCTGGAGAATGCTTCAGACTTTGTGTCTCCCTTTCTCTGCTCCTCCCCCGGTTGTGCTTGATCTCTCTCTTTCTCAAAAATAAGCATAAAAAAAAATTTTTTTTAATACTGAAAACTTATTAGATGCTAAGGCACTTAATATATATTATTTAATTCTCCCAATAACCGTGTAAGACAGTTTATATTATCTTTGTTTTATAAAAAAAGAAACTAAAGTTTAGAGACGATAATATACTTACTGAGTCACTCAGAAATTAAAAGGTGGAAACAACATTTAAACTTAGGTCTAACTCTAAAGCCCACATTCATTCCTCAGCCCATGTGTCATCTCCTACATGACAGCAAACCATAAACCTATATATCACAGAAAAGAGAGCCATGAATTATGATAAAGCCAAGATCTAAGATGCATTAGGAAAACAACGAGGCTATAATTAAGGCTGACCTTATGCTTATTTTAAACTCCAGGCCTGTTCAAATTCCTATCAAAACTCTCTCTTAAGATTAAAACGAAAGGGGCGCATGAGGGACTCAGTTGGTTAACCATCAAACTTGGCTCAGGTCATGATCTCACAGTTTGTGGGTTCGAGCCCCATTCGGCTCTGTGCTGACAGCTCAGAGCCTGCTTCGGATCCTCTGTATCCCTCTCTCTACCCCTTCCCTGTTAGCACATGTACATGCTTTCTAACAAACAAATAAACATTTTTAAAAAAGACTAAAGAGAGAGAGAAACAGAGATTCTTGTGTTCTGAACATAAGAAAAACACTTAGGGGGCACCTGGGTGGCTCAGTTGGTTAGGCTTCTGACTCTGGCTCTGGTCACGATCTTGTGATTCATGAGTTCAAGCCCTGCATCAGGCTCTGTGCTGACAGCTTGAAGCCTGGAACCTGCTTTGGATTCTGTCTCCTTCTCTCTCTTCCCCACCCCCACTCGCACTCCGTCTCTCTCTCTCTCTCAAAAATAAACATTTTAAAATTTTTTTTAAAAAAAGGCATTTATAACTACCTTTTCTCATAATAATGACCTTAAAGAAATTCTAACTGAAAAAATATGGAGATAATGTTCAACCTCTTCAATAAAATAATTAACTACAAAAATAAAAATATTTGAAATGTCAAAATTCAATAGTGACAGATTTTAGTCATTATGCTGTTGTAGACTGATACAATATTTTGGTAAAGTAATGTGGCAAATACATTTTAAGTGTCAAAAATGATCATATTAAAGACAAATACCATATGATTTCACTTATATGTGAAATCTAAAAAAAAAAAACAAAAAGCAGAAACAGACCCCTAAATGCAGAGAACTGGTGGCTGCCAGAGGGGAGATGGATTGAGAGACAGGCAAAAAGGTATGAATGGGAGTGGGAGGTACAGGCTTCTGGTCACAGACTGATTAAGGAAGAAAAGTACAGCATACAGAATCTACTCAATGGTATTTTCATAGCATCATATGGTGACAGATGGTAGCTACATGTGTGGTGGTGAGCATAGTATAACATGTACAATCTAAGTTATGTATACCTGAAACTAATATAACATTGTGTATCAACTATACTTCAGTTTTAAAAAAAATAATAATATTCTTTAAAAAAATAAAAAGTAAATAAATAAAACTCATCTTCTTTGGGGTGCCTAGTTGGCTCACTTGGTGGAACATGCAACCCTTGATCTCAGGGTTATGAATTCAAGCCCCACGTTGGGTGTAGAGATTAATTAAAAAAAACAAAACAAAACAAAACAAAAAACCAAAATAATCTTTGACTCAGTAATCCCATTCTTGGGAATTTATCCCAAAGCAATAAATTGAAAGATATATTAACAAAGGTGATTGTAATATTTATAATTTTTGAAGAGTCAAAATTTTCAGTAACTGGAAGTAGGTGATCAAATTACAATAAATCAAGTTAATAGACTATTTTGGGCCACTAAAATCAATAAATGTGAAGAATATATAGCAACATAGAAATTATAAAATACTAATAGAGAAAAATGAAAACAAAAGAAAAAAAAGAAAACAAAATCCTATACACACTATGATCACTAATACCAACCAATTTTTATTTTTTATTTTTTTTTTTAAACATTGATTAATTTTTGAGACAGAGAGAGCATGAACAGGGGAGGGTCAGAGAAA